AGGTTGCAGGAACAGCAACTCATATTCCGCTTGGGAACCCTGCAGCCAATGGTATCAATGTGGATTTCACAAGTTTCAAAATCTCCCCTCCCCCTACCGCATCCCAAAACCAGTCCAGCTCGTCCCTGCCTCCCTAACCTGTTCTTCCTCCCACCTATCCCCTCCTCCCACCTCAAGCCGCACCTCCATCTCCTACTGACTAACCTCATCCCCTTGACCTGTCCGTCCTCCCTGGACTGACCTATCCCCTCCCTAACTCCCCACCTACACTCACCTTTACTGGCCCCATCCCCGCCTCTTCGACCTGTTTGTTTCCTCTCCACCTATCCTTTCCTCTATCCATCTTCTATCCGCCTCCCACTCTCTCCCTATTTATTTCAGAACCCCCTTCCCCTCCCCCTTTTCTGATGAAGGGTCCAGGCCCGAAACGTCAGCCTCTCTGCTCCTATGATGCTGCTTGGCCTGCTGTGTTCATCCAGCCCTGCACCTCGTTGTCTCTCATTAGTCACTAACAGTCCCCATTAACAACTATTCTCCCTCCTAGCCAGATTGTTATCAACTCCTTTGTCTATCCAAATACTCTTCTCTCTCTTCGGGCTCTATCCTATTGTGTACTCCTTACCCCATCCCCCTCCCTATTTTCTGCATATGAACTGACATTTTCCCAGCTACCGTCAGTTTTGAGGAAGGGTCACCGGACCCGAAATGTTAACCCTGAATTTTTCTTTACAGGTGCTGCCAGACCTGCTGAGCTTCCAGCAACTTCTGTTTTTGTTCCTGATTTACAGCGTCTGCAGTTCTTTAGGTTTTTATTTAAGAGAATATTTTTGTTTGTTCTTTTTTTCTCTCCTATCTTCTTTGCCACTGTCCACCCAAACAAATTGACTAAAAACCTCATTTGGCAATTTAAATGTCTGTCTACGACTTTTAGATTCTCAAATTTAGCTTGGGAATTTGGTTTAAGCTGTTATAATGTGACACAAAACCGGAAATGATGCCAACCACCCCAGCAAACTGAGGCATATAAATAACAAGCGGGACAGAACAGCAGTGCTTCACCGGAGGTGCACTGACGATGTTACCGAACAGGGTGACGAAACGTCAGCAGCCAAACACACTGGCTCGGCGAGTAAGTTTACAACCTCATCCACAACCCTCGCTACAAATCTTCTCAAAAACTTTAAATGTGACAGTTTCTACAATCAACCCAATTAACATTTTGTAAAATTTGTGTGTTTTTGGTTAATCTTCAGTAATTTTGAAATTTAAATTCACATTGAAGATTGTTTCAGTAGCAGCAGAAGTAAAACCTTACTTTAGCAATCTTGGAGTTTAATATCTGGCGCATAGAGATTAAGATGTTAAAATGAGAAGCAGGTGCTGTGTTTCTGCAGTTGGACAGGTAATGTTTAATAGAGTTTGCCTTCTCCTTATTTCCTGTTCTGCATTTTTCCAGTTAAGCAAGTAAATACTCATGAATGCTGCACGTAATGACATTTTTAATCCAATTATACTCCAAGCACTTGTGGTAACTAAAATTGTTAAGCTAATATAAAAGTAGATTGTACTTATATAGTGTACTGGTCCATAAAGCACAACTTTATAAATATCACAAGTCAATCAAATTGTATAAATATATATCAATCTTTGTAGGAATGACCTTTGAAAACTTCATATTGTACAACTGGATGTGTCAGTGATTCTTAAATGTCCTCCAGAATACAAGATCTTGCTGTTTGTATTTGTTTGAAAATAACATGTCCTCCAAACTGAATGGCTAGTAATTGGATGAAACTTAGTATGTATCTCATACACAAAAAAAGTGCATAATAATGTATGCACATGAATGTGCTATAATATACAAAGTGAAAACTATTGGCTGATGTTTTGTTTTAGTTTTGAAATAGCTATTTCTTATAATACCAGAGGTTGATTTAATAGACCCCATTACTAGTTATATGTCTGCAAAGTATTTAGCAGTAGCCTTTCATTACTTGGTTTACTTCCTATGTATAAAAAGTCTGTAACTTGTATCGTTATGCTATATTTTAATAATTTTCAGTACAGTCATATTCTGTTCCTCATAATTTTTTTATGTATGAAGAAGTTACAGTAAATTCTGTTTACTTGGAAAAGAACTATGGTGAAACTTCTTTTTGTAATCGTGTTACAGAAAAAGAAATGGCATTTCGAAAGATTGTTGGAGGAACAATTTTTCTCGGGGGTGGTACCCTGACAATTTTAGGTGTCTCCCAGATAACAGACTGTTGGCCATATCAGGTAAGATTTCCATTTTAGCTTCTATAAATGTTCAAAAGCTTGTGTCCAATTCTGTCAGGTGTGATATGGGCCTTTCAAGGCCTTGAAAATATTCATCCTTGGTCTTTGTTTCTGTACTTGAATGATTTGCTTGCACATGCTGAACAGCGTGCTGGTTGCAGAGACCTATGAAACTGGACAGTAGCTAGATGCCAGCTAGCACTATTAATGCAAAATGGTGGGTTGCAATGAACTGTGGTCAGTGTGTGTCTTAATATGCATACATTGTACATGTCAATTAAGTTATGTTTATATGCAAAATATCTTAAATGCAAATACCCCTATATATGTAACTTGCCAGTTTTCGAATAGATTTTTGTAGTCTTTTAAAGAAATGTTGGTTATGCTGCTCAACACAAATACCAACAGACAGAGTTGGCATGCCACATGAAATTAATGGAGAATAAATTCTAACAGGGTGTAACATTGGCATCTGGCTGGCACCTATAGTGAGGCCCATTAAAATTAAAGTTAAGCTTCCTAATTTTCTTTTAGTGCATCTTCAGCTGTTAACACATCTTTTATGGGTTGTCCAAGAGTCAACTTGCTTATCCATGCACGCCACTTTATACTTAGGTCATGCAATCTGCTCTGCAGTTTACCTGTCCTGTGCTCCTCATCTATTCCTAAATTGTATGCTCTCAGCAAGATAAATTTTTAAACTTTTGTGATCGAATAGATAATTGAAATTCCTGACTCTTCTGGTCCACAAGGCGACAACAAAACAAATTTAAAGTCTTAGCTTTTTGGCAGTCTTATTGAGTCACAGAGTCATCTTAGCCTTACTTTGTCTCACTCATTCTTACCAGTCCCTAGCTGAACCAGCACTGGTGAATCCGATAGCAAATATTAAAATTGCATCCAAGTGCTGTTTACTTAGACTTAGACGTTTTCTTTGCACATTTTGAGGCCATTGCTTGCCTGTGATGGGCCTCATGCTTCCTGTTGTACTCCACTTAAACTGGTGGATGTGAATACAGTACCAAGCAGGAGGGAGGGATGTTGCCTCCATTCAAACACCCAAAAGCCTCATGCTGATTTGATTTTTGGTTAAAATCAGCAATAAAGTCTCTGAAGATCCTGTGTCTGTGCCACATTACAATCTTGCAAGTTGAATTTGATGAATAACAGTTTATCTGCAGAAACAGAAAGGATATTGTCCAACTGGTTTGTTGGATATATGCCATTGTTGGTGTAACCAATTATCATCTACAGACAGTTAATATTTACAAACTTCTGAAGTAGTAATGTTTATCTTGGCTTTACGTGCTTTGTTCGTCCAGGCTATTTTTGTAAGAATGGGATGGGAGAGCAACCTTTCTGCCAATAGTGACATCTTAATTTCTTTCAAAAATTGTTTGACTGCTATAAGCATCAGAGCCACTGAAAAATATGGTCATTTCAGCATTTTCACCTGTTCATTGGTGTAGAGACTAGTGTGGGAGAAAGGGTTTCAAATCAGCTGTGCTGACCCCAGTACTGGGGAACGATGGAGCTGTTCTTTTGGGACAGGTGTCTTTGGAACCATACTGTGACCAGTGTCCTGGCGAATCAAACAGCAATGACTGTAGATGGGCTTGAAAATTAAATAGTAGGGGTGGGTCGGAAGTCAGCGTAGTGCAAGATAGCCATGTGGCAAATGTTAGCCAAAGGGTGACTGGAAGTATCAGAGCATACAAACAAAGCTTCCAATCGTAAGTAGGGTCAGATTAGGGAAAAATACCAAAAAAATAAGATTACAGGCTCTTTATCTGAACATATGCAGTATGAGTATCAAGATAGTTAAATTGATGGCACAAAGAGAAATAAATGGGTATGGTTTGACAGCCTTGCCTGAAATGTGGTTGTAATGTGAGCCAAATGCAGTGAATCCTAACTTTAATACAGTGAAGATGCACAATGAAGGAAAGTATTGTAATATGTATACTTGAACCGTAGGAAACAGAATGGTGTACACAACAGCTTGGCAGTACATCTGCCTTCAATTTACTTCATGTGAGAGACATGGAAGTACTACTATAAAAAATAGGAACAGGAGTAGGCGGTTTGGCCTCTTGAGCCCCCCTACCATTCAATAGGGTCGTGGCTGATCGGATATTCCTCACATCCACTTTCCTGCCTTTTCCCCATAACACTTGATTCCTCTCCTGATCAAGAGCCTACCTATCTCACCCTTAAACATACACAACGACTCTGACCCTGCACTCTGTGACAAGGAGTTCCAAAGACATGCAACCCTCTGAGAGAAGAAATCCCTCTTTATCTCAGTCTTAAATTGGCACCGCTTTATTCTGAGTCTGTGCCCCTGGTTCTAAACTCCCTCGGGGGAAACATCCTCTCAGTGTTTACCCTGTTAAGCCCCTTAAGAATCCTGTATGTTTCAATGAGATCACCTCTCGTTCTCCACTGAGTAGATTCCCAACCTGTTTAACCTTTGCTTGTAAGACAGTTCCTCCATACCAGTAAACCTTCTCCAAACTGCCTCCAATGAAATGATATATTTCCTTAAATGAGGGGACCAAAATTGCTGACAGTACTCCAGATGTGGTCTCACCAGCGTCTTGTACAGTTGCGGGAAGTCTTCCCTGCTCTTACACTTCAACCTTCTTGTAATAAGAGCCATTATTCCATTAGCCTTCCTGATTACCTGCTGCGCCTGTGTGCTGACTTTCTGTGTTTCATGCACAAGCGCCTGCAAGTCCCTTTGTTTTGCAGCTTTCTGCAACATTTCTCCATTTAAATAATATTCTGTTTTTCTGTTCTCCCTTCCAAAATGAATAACTTCACATTTTTCTACATTAAACTCCATTTAGCAACTTTTTACCCACTTCCTTAACCAATAAATCTTTCCGTAAACTGTTTTCAACTTCTTCACAGCTTGCTTTTCTGCCTGTTTCCGTGTCGTCTGCATATGTGGCTATCGTACATTTGCTTCCTACCTGCAAGTCATGACTATATATTGCCAATAGTTGCGGTCCCAGCACTGATCCCTGTTATATTATATAGAAATGTTGAAATGAAATCTTTATTTTTCCTCCTTCTTATTGCTTTCATAAAGAAATGTCTTCTTTTATGTGCGTGGTATGACATGAAAAATTTCCCTTCCTTGCATACAGATATAATCTATGAATGCTGAGGCATCTTGGAAATATATTTAGATAATGGGCAGTATTTTCCCTCCCCAGGGTGGTCTGGGCAATGTCGTGATACTTGGAAAAATGTGGTGAAAGTGAAAAAAAATTCAAGGTCCCGGCTGAGAAAATGTTTTGTGATTTGCCATTTAGGCTTCAAATGGTGATTTCAGAACCATGCAATTGAGCAGTGATCAACATAATTCCATGCCCTTGCGTCTCATTTTTAGCCCAACTCACCTCGTTTTATATGCCACGTCCAACTCTCTCTTTTCCCAAAAAAATAGTCATTACAAATTCCTGACATGAAAATTAGCCCAGATATCTGGCATTGCAGCTTGATGATTGCTTGATTATGTATGCAGCGCATTGTGACTGCATGCTTCATGACCATTATTCTTCTCGATCTTTCACCCATGGAAATTTAGCATTGGTAAACCACCACATTGTTGTGACTACTCTTGGACCAACTGTCACACCATGTCAGCCCTTCAACACTTGATTTTGGAGCTCAGGAGCATCTATGACTTACATGATTCTACGAGGTTGCTTTGCATGCAGGGAGAGACCTGCATCTCATGCATTTGAATACGATGCATTCTATAGCGTAAACTTGCTTTCTCAGTGATCACTCACTTTGCATTTACTTGAAGGCTGCCAACCTTGGTTGCTTGCATTCCTTTTTAGCACAAAGGGTGAGGTAGGCAGCTTCGAACCAAACAAGTTTACAACACAGAAGGGGTTCTTCGGCCCATTGTATCAGTGCCTATCTATTCTAGTTCCATTTTCCATCACTTGGCCTGTAGGCTTTATACTATGACATTTTAAGTGTTCATCCAAATACTATTTCAATGTTGTGATGGTTCCTGCCTCGACAGTCCTTCTCAGGCAGTGAGTTCCAGTTACCCATTGTCCTCTTGGTGAAGAAAATCTTCCATAAATCCCCTCTAAACCTTTTCCCCTGGTTACTGACCCCTGTACTAAGAAGAAATGTTTCCTCCTGTCTGCCCTAAATGTGCCCCTTTATAATTGCTACACTTCAGTCAAGTTTCTCCTTCAGCTTTCGCTGCTCTAAGGACAATGACCCCAGCCTATCTAGTCACTCTTCATAGTTGGAATGCTCCAGCCCAGGCAACATCCTGGTGAATCTCCTGTGCACCTTCTCTAGTGCAGTCATAGTCTTCTGAAAATGCAGTGACCAGAACTGCACACAGTACTCTAGCTGTAGCCTAACTAACATCTTGTACTGGTCCATCATAATCTCCCCACTCTTGTATTCAGTGTCTCAATAAATAAAGGCAATTTTTCCATATGCTTTCTTAACCACCGAATCCATCTGTCCTGTTGCTTTCAAGGATCTATGAACATGTACACCAAGGTTCCTTTGACCCTCTGTGCTTCCTAGAAACCTACCACTCCCTTGCCTTGTTAGTCCTTCCAAAATGCATCCTCATAATCTTCAGGGTTAAATTACATTTGCCACTGTATTGCCCATCTGATGAGCCTGTCCATGTCATCGTGCAGTCTAAGGCTTTCCTCTCGCTATTTGCTACACTGCCAAATCCATGTTTGTGATCCACCCCACACTCCCAGATCCTGCTGTGTATCTTCCCAGCACAGATAATTTATTTTCAACTATTCACACTTCATGTTAACACCCATTCAGCACTTGTTCTCTCCCAGTTTATCATCAGTAATTCCTCTGTCTGTTTCTCCTTTTTATTGTGCTATCTCACTCTCTGCACCCCTCCCATCATCAGCATAAATGCCACCATTTTCCAGTTGCTTTAGGTTCTGATGAAGGGTCACTGGACTCGTAAATGTTATCTG